CCCCCCCCCCCCCCCCATCCCCCAAACCCTCAACCCCCATTCTCTATCCCCTTCCCCCAAAACTGAATCCCTGTCCCTTATTCTCCCAGAAAACCAGCTCAGCCTCAAAAGAGGCTCTCTGTTTGTCAGCTGGGTAGGCCTGGAAGAACCCAGCTGCTATCTTGTTCCAGTGTTGGGGCCTCCATTGCTCTTAACTGGAGTGGGTTGTAATGTAACTGGAATAATAAGATACAGATAGAATACCTTGTATGCTTGCGCCAGTTTAAATCTTATCTGAGAAAACTTAAATAGATGTTGAACAGGGAAAACGAATGGCGTTTTGTGAGTGTATGGATGTGTGTGTTAGCCCTCAGGGCCTTGGTTAAGCCTGTAGTTTATCCTGATCCTTTTCATTAGCCATTATCAATAATTCAACATTGCACTTGCTTTAATGGTTTAATGTGGGCAAACCCTCAATTCGCACACATCCACACTGACACGCACGGACACTCTACTTAATAGCACTCCCTCTCTTGGCCTGTGCCCAATGCCACTGAGGTGAATATAGATGTGTAAATGTGCACATAACACAGTGCACCTAAAGCTTTCAAAAGTAAATACCTATCAACCAGAATTCATTTTTTTTCCCTTACTGGGCAGTCACGTGATCTCTTGATTTAGAGAAGAAATGGTTTATTATTTCCCTACGAAAGTCTGTTTTACTGTATATCAAGTTATATTTGCAATAAAAAGGCACATCAATCTTCTACTCTGAGGTAATGAAAGGGTTAATCTTTTATGATGCGTCCCCTCCCAACCGTGCTTCTCTTGCCCTTTCTTTCATATTCTCCAGTATGGCAGTGCTCAATGTCTGCACATATGCTGAAAAAAAGGATCCTCTTTGATTGGAAGGCTAATTTGAAGTGTCAATTATTCTTATGCAAATTAAGGTACAGTTTCTCACGTCTGAAATGGGTTTGGGGCACAGATGGGTGAGTGTGCGTGTGTGTGTGTGTGTGTGTGTGTGTGTGTGTGTGTGTGTGTGCCTGCACAAATCTCCCTCCAAAAACATACAGCGCCATTCCATCCCCCCTCCAACTCTTCATCTATACCTCTTAGGGAAGAAAGCTGACGTACAAAGACAGCCGGCATAATGGGACAAGGATATTTGCATGCACATTGTCCACACTGAACGCCAAACAGATCATAAATTGAGAATACAATGGGTCAAAACAGCACCCAAAACATTTTACGACAATACGGCGGCGTGGTCTATGTTGTAATGTAAATAATGGAACGATGTTGGGTAAACAGGTACACCACAAGAGCTGGGATGTATCACGGGGAGTGTTGTCGGCAAACAAAAACTATTTACTACATTTTATTTACTACTTACTACTTTTGTCATTTAAACACTTTTCAGTGACATTCTCTTTTGCCATACCAGAGGTGCAAGCGAGAAATATAATCCCAGTGTCTGTGCAGAGCGAGAGGAACAAGAAGATCCTGTTCAAAGAAAAAGTGAGAGAGAAGGAGGGAGGAATAGAGAGCGACAGAGTGCATCTAAAAGCATATGTTCGTGTGTAAGTACAGTATGTGAATGAGGGCACGCTCCTCTTTACGGTAATTAAAGCTTTGGACTCAAATCTGAATCTGGATGAGAGATTTAGACTGACAAAGAGGGACAAAGTGAGGAAGAAAAAGGAGAAAGAAAGAAAAAAGAAGCAGACAGACAGAGGACTCTACAAATAGAGTCTGTTGTCTGAACCTCTCAGCTGATGTGGTGGTTAAAAAAAGAAGAAGAAAAAAAACGGCTTTTCAAGCCCAAAACCGGATCAAACAACCTGCTGTGGAGTCCGGTTACACCATAACAATGGCTTACATTCACTCTCAGCCTCAACACACAAGCAGCTTTTACCTCAAAGGGTGTAGAGGGAGAGAGTAAGTCTGGTTTGGAGGGTGGGTGCGTACGGGTATGGAGGGGGGGGTATAGCGTTATCTTAGACGATAATTGTGTTCAACAGATTAGATGGATAACAGCCCAACATGTTTGTTTTCAACTGTCGGCTTCTGCAGCTCTACTGAGATCTATGGTCAACCCCGCAGGCACTCTCAATCTCAACAAAACTTTTAGATATTGCCGTAGAAAGTGGAATACTCTGATAGATAGCGTTCAAAACTCTTAGATAAAGACAACGGGTAGAAGAGAAAGCAGTTGAGGAGAGATCATTGCCTAAAGTAAAATACAGAGAAGTCTTTGTCAGAAATCAGTTATTGCCCGACTGATCGCATTGAACATTTGATGGACTGTTAATTGACTGGTGAATGAATGGGTTGTTTTTTTTACACTTCCCTTCACTCGCTCAGATTTTAAACTCGGGCATATTGACGGATTCCTAAAGATATCTCATAGCCGACTACAACAGTCGTCCCTGTAAGCTTCTCTGTCCACAGCAGACAATCTGATTAATTACAGACACACAATAGACTGCTACTTTCTCCAAAGACCCTGCCTCTCAAGCAATGAAAAGCAGCCCTGGCAAATTGTATTTGTTTTACATTGGTCCAGTAGTTCTGGAGAAATTAGTATGCAGTCAGGGATGGGAGAGCTTGTCAAGATCAGGGGGAAATCTCTACCCACCCACTGGGTGGATCTACATTCATGAACAAGGTTGACAAGAAAGCTGACTAGTGTAAAGACACGGAGCAAATAAAATGGCAGAGACCATGAATATTCTTTTTCATAGGAGAGCACAGAGAACACCTTCGTAGACAGGCCCTTTCTCTATCTGTCTGTCTTGTTTGTCAGTTCATCTGTCAAGACGTTCACTCTCTCTTTCTCTTCTTCACACCCTCTAGCCCCTCTTCCCTTTTCCTAAACTATGTGTCATGCACGTCAAAAATGCTAGGGCCAGCCCTTTTTGAGGGTGTTCTGCTGGACCATAGAGCGAATAAACATCCATGTCAGGAGAAAGCGATCTGGGGCCCTTCTCTCACTGAGCCCGAGCTCTCCTGGGAAACACACCGCTCATACAATGGATAGAGGAGGCCTTTTGTTGAGTCTCTGGGAGCTGTAGGGCTAGCTCTGGATCAAACAGGGGTGTGTGTACATTTCTGCATTTTTCAAACACACACACACACACACACACACACACTCTCTCTCAAGAGCAAACCACATGCGAGAGTCTACACACACACACACACACACATGCAAACACACACACACACACACACAGATTCACAGACTTTCCTCTGCTTCTTAAACTCAGTGTGACTAAGTTAACTTCTTCACTCTTTTGCAGTATTGCCGAGGGCAGCAAGATGAATTTCAAATAGCCAGCAGGAAGGGAGAAGAGACAAAGAGGAGAATGTTGACGTAAATCAGCGTTGGACTGATTTAGACTGGTTTAGTGTCAGTCCAAAGGGGCTTTCTGTTGCACTACATACAAATCACAGTTCAAAGCCTGTGACTGGGCTCCCTCCTGGGGTCCAAGGCAGGGAAATCCTCAGAGGAGGTATCCAATTATTGTGGGTAGCTTATGTGTGTGGCATAGTTTTTTATTACATGTGCTAGAAAAATTGCACAAATATATGATCTAATATTGGCATGAGATATTAGGGGAAGGGCTGCACAGAACAGCACAGGAGGAGAAATTGCAATTGTACTTTAGTCTCAAAAAAAAAGTAAAGTGAGTACACACTAGTTGCACATTAGTACAATTCTGTATGTAGCCCTA